AGCTTGGACCTGAGCGTCAAGGATCACGGGTGAGAGAAGTGCACAGGCAGGCACACTTAGCTCCTTCCAGCAGCAAGCTCTGAGAAGTTTCTGTACCTGTAATGAGAGGACAGAACATGCTGATGAAAGGCAATTTCACGGTGCCTGAGTTAGATGCCCCCAAACTGGAGGCAGGGAGTCTCTCTCTACTTCCCCTCAAGCATGTGTCCTCCAGATAGTTTTTTGGGCTCACAAGCACCTACTGACTCTTTGGCAAGAGATTCACCTCTTGTGCTCCCCTCTGGGAAATAAGCCACTGGCAAAGCTCCTTCTTTGACTTAGATATTCCTGCTGTTGTCATCAAGAGCTGGTTGAAGGCTGCTCCAGTGCCACACTTCAGCACACTTCTAGCAGGAGCATTTGCACTGATGTAATAGGGCACTGAATTGGGGCTGGGAGGCACCTTCCAGAGAAATTGGACACAAAAACCAGCTGGGTGTCAGGCTGGCTCTGGTCCGGGTCTGGCATGTGCTAATTTATAGTTACAATGATGAATCTTTTGCACTTGTGCAGATGGGAATGCACCTATCTCAAAGCATGTGTCCCACTTGTCCAGCATCTCTACTGAGAATAGGAGTGTTTGGGGGTTGTCCTGCGTGGAAAAATGGCAGAGGAGCTGATACTGGGGCTAAGTGAGCCTGCTCCACTTTGACCTTTGTGTACATTCCTTTCCATACTTTAAACAAGGCTCAGTTTGGGACCCCAGCACTCGTATTCTACTGCGGCCATTAGGGATGCATGTGAAACACCAGGGCTGCCTTTCAGCCCGCCTGGCTGTGGCCGTGAGGGTTGCTGCCTTCCCTGCTACCAAGGGCACCCGTGGCCCTGGCAGTACGGGTCTCCCAGCAGCATCCCCTCTGCTTTTGTGGCTATTTCTGAAAGTTCTAGCGGGATGAAGGAGTAAAATATGGGATGGGTTGTGAGTCAGCTAATAAGTGTGATGGTCTGGACACTGGAGGAAGAGGTCTGGACTACAGAATAGCTGACAGAACTAAATTCTGCCGACTTGGGACTCTCTTTCTCTCCATCTTGGCTATCACAAGTGAAAGAGTTTGGCCTGCCCAAGGGAGGGTGGGCATCATTCTCTTCCTCCGGATGTAGCAGGTGAGGAGTGAGGCAGCTTGAAGGGAGAAGGATTAATCTCAGTGCTCACAGTCCCTGTGCACATCTTAACTAAACCCTGTTGGTTTGTGTGTTCCAGTAATGAATCAAATGGCCACACAGTCTCAGCAAATTCATCTCTTTTATCCTCGCTTATGAATAAGGTAAGAGCCATCCATCAAACGCCTTTCATTCCCCCCACCAAGAGAAATTAAAGCTGCGATGGCGGGGAGGGGGGGAAGAGATGCGTTTGTTTTTTAATGTTTTGCCTCTAATAAGATGAGTTTGTACCATTTAAATTTTGAGACCATTTTTCATCGGGTATAATTTCAGAGCCACTGCTTACGAATTAATTTAATGAACTGGCTGAAGAAATATATTGCAGCCTCTGACACCTTTTTTTTTTTTTTTTTCATCCTTTCTAGACAGAGGAGGGCTCCGAAAGATTTTTTTTTTTTTCCTCCATTTTTATTTCCAGAACCTGGCAACTTCTCTCTCTCTTTTTATAGTTACTCATTTTGTTTATTTACTTAAAAACATTTTCTTTCATTGGGGGAGGGGGAGGATAATCATCTGTTTTTATGAAAGAGAAGAAAAAAATTAGAAGTTTTGAGCTAAAATCATCAATTTCTGTCTATCTGGTGTGAGTAATGGTGTCCAACAGAGACCCCTTTACCATGTTCTAGAATATTTATTTTAGATAATGCACAGTTTCTTTTTCCTTACTTTTTTCTTTAAATTATACATCATCTCAAATATATATTTCCCTTTCACATGATAAATTCTACTGTACCAAGATTAATTTCGCTGTTGTATACAACTGCAGTAGAGATCAGGGCAGCCTTTGAGCCATGCTTTAATATTCTACTGTGTGATAGGTTTTACAGGCATGACTATTGCCATCCCCTTGGCTCTGGGCGTTACATGCATCAAGGCCATATAACCCTCAAGAGAGGGCAAAGTGACTTTGCCTAGTAATCTCTCGCCTCCTTTCTCATTTCATCACTCTTTTCTCTGTGTTGTTTAATTTCTGCCTCTGTCCTTATGCCACTTTTCTTCTCCACTGGCTTTCTGTTACACTGGGGTTTTGATGTTCCCTTTTAAACCTAATTTCTTATTTGTTCTTGTGTATTGTCCCTTTAGTGATTCCAAATATGCAGCTCTTTCTCTAGTGAGTAAATCTGTTTAGTAAGTCTGCTGTCTGGGGTCCTGAGTCATTCTGAACGCCCCAGCTCAGGGAAATTCCTTTTCAATAGATACTTGAAAATATCGAGGAGAATATAAGAAATAAGCATTTGTTTTTGTGCAGCCCTGCGTAAGATTCTTTACGTTGTGCAAAATAGGTGTAGCACAGGTATAAAATATGAGTTCTTCGGGTTGTTCCTTTTTTAAAGAAGGAATGGGATTAAGCAATGACATACACTAGCAAAGACTAGAGCCCACTGATTTGAAGGAGCCTGTTCCATGACTAAGGATAGCTGAATCAAGCTCAGTGTGCTCAGGAACACATCACGCCTGCTTCTTTCCTCTTGCTGCACACAATTTCTGTTCATGGAGGAATCCTTCACTATTTGTCTAGGAAGAAGAGCCCTTTACAGAAACAGAATGTCCAGCAAACACCAGTGGAAAAAGACGACCTGAATTTCTGGCTCCAGTCATAAAGACTTGCAGTCTCCACATAGCAGCAGGGGCTTTACCTTCAGGGGGCATTAAGAAAGCCTCAAATAGCCAGGGTTCCTGTAGCGTGCTGCAGTTTATTTAGGGGGCTGTCAGGCTTAATTAACTGATATTTATAAAGGGCTACAAGATCCTCAAGTGGGTGGAGTTTATAATGCAAGTATTGGGCCCAATCCTGCATTTTATTCATGCTGTAAAATTTCACTATTGTTACTGGAGGTAACTGAGAACACAACAAAGCAAGAAAGAATCTGGGAAATTGTGCATTTATTCTCAAAGAAAATTTCTTCTCTAAGCACTCTCGAGTAACTTCCTTTTTCTATCCTGCACATCATACACCTGGACCTCTAAACCTTCTCTGTGTAGAATCTATTTGAAGCCTTTCAGACAATGCAAATTGTGAGTCAAAGTCCTGCTTTGTGGAGAATACATCCATTTAGTACAGAAAGTGACAGGATTTCTTTATTTAAGTTAGTAAGAATTTTCCAGGAATTTAAGCAGAGCCAGAATTTTTCCCCAGTTGAATCAGATTTCCCCCCTCCCACCCCCAAACATACCTGATAGTCACTTCAAAGAAGGAGACATCCTTGCGACTGGGATGAGGTGATTCTAAACAAACTAGAGCTTACCAGTTTTATCACTAGGTCTGCACTAAGAGACCAACATTTTGTAGGAGCTATACAGAGCTATTAAGGTTTAAGCCTGTGCACCTTTTCCATACTCAGATAGGGCATGTCTCTCTTCACCTTAGTTTCCCCAGGTATAAAATAGACACGATGCTTCATTCCTTTGCACAAAAGCCATGAATATGAGATGGGCACCTGAGTACTTTGTGATAGTTGGGTGGAGGTTGCAGAAGAGTGAGGTGTTAAGTTTTGCCAATGCAGTTGAGGCAGCCTGTGCAGACTTCTTGTCTTCTCTCTTGATCTTTGAAGACACGGCCTTCTGTGGGACAGTCCTGAGAACAGACTGGCAGTGCCCAGGGCTGTGTGCTGGGCTTGATGCAGTGTCTATGTTCTTGTTCCAGATGTCCAAGACCAGTGCCAGCCTTGGCAACCTGCTCAACATTAAGGCAGAAGGAGATGGCAGCCAGGCTGGGGCTGGAGAGCCAACACAGTACTTGGGCAAGGCAGTGAAGGCACTTGTCCAGGAGAAGCTCTCTGAGCCGTGGAAGATGTACCTGCGCCGGTAAGGAGAGCATGGAACTGGGGATAGAGGAAAGGGAAAATGATTTCCTTTGCAAAGGGTCTGGCTAATTAGTTCACACTTGAATTCAGAGTTCTCTTGAATTTAAAGGCCTAAATCTGTGGTATGCTGATCACCTTCTGGTCCCGGTTAGCCACAGTAGGTGTCAATGTCCTGTAAGAAATATCTGTTCACATAGAGTTACTTTGCAAAAGGATCTTGAGAACCAACTACGAGGACAGATCTTCACATAGTCCTGTTCGCCTAGACTGCATCTGAGGCTCCTCTTTATGTCCCCAGTCTGCAGGTCCGGGGACAGGCTGCAGCTTGCTCTTAGCACTGAACTTCTGTAGTTACTACGCACAGATCACAGGAGCCTTGAAATGCTTGCTGTGGCACTTCCTCTGATCACAGGAGTAGGCCACTGAAACAAAATGAGGAGTATAAGGGGTATGGGAACGGGGATGGTTTCTGCTGGTTTTGTTGTAGACAAGAAGGCTCGAAAGGAAAATGGAACAGATACAAAACTCACCCACACACAGACACAGGCACATACATGCCCGGACAGACACATGCTTTGAGCATACACAGATACACCCAGGCAGACACATACAGGTTTGTGCTCTGACACAAGACAGTTGCCTACCAATGCCTGTGGACACTTTGTAAATCACAGACTTTAATGGAGAAGACTAGAAAGTCTCCTAGTCCATCTGCCCCTGGCCAGTGCGAGATCCTTCCCTGTAGCCCATTTGCATTTTGTCCAGCCTAGTTGTAATTATGCCAAGTAGTGTGGCTATTTTCTTGTCTGTGGGAGCATTATTCTACCACATAATACGTTTCACTGTCATGATTTTTTTCATGGTATGCTGCCTGAATTTCCCTTTTTGTAATTTTGTTGCAGTTCTCCTGCTTATATCCCCTTGAACCACAGCAGATAATTCCTCTGTGCAGTCGGAGTTCACTCCCTTCAGATAGTCACTGACTTTTAGCATACCATTTAACCAAGCTTATTTACTTCCTTTTGTCTGGCTTTGTAAATTAGTCCCTTCAGCCTGCTGATCGTGTTGCTGTTGTCGTTCTTGCTGCTCCCTGAATGGGTGCAGAACTGGGCCGCCATTCCTGTATCACCACACAGGCTTTCTGCCCCCATCCATGCAGCTCACAATTGTGCTACCTTGTTTGCATCTGCACTGCATTATGTATATGTATCGTGTTTACCATCCACTGTTACACAGCATTGCTTTTGATGTTGCTCTCATGAGTCCCTTATGTATAAAAATACCCCCCCCACGCCCCAGATGTATTAGGTGTATGTTTCCAAATACAACTCCTGTGTTCTGAACCTTCTCCCTTGTCTTCCAAGGCCTCTCTGTGTTATTTTTCTCCTCTTGCACTGGTGTTGCCAACCTCCTCCCAGTTTAGTATCTTCTGTGAATTTCATTAACACGCTGTTTACTCCTTCTCCTAGATTACTAATGAAGATGTTAAATAAGCTCAGACCTAACCAAAGTCATCCTTGCAGCATTCACAAGATACCTCCTCTCAGCTCAATATGTTGCTGTTTGTCATTAGCCTTTGTTTACGGTCCTTCAGCCAGTTTTCAATCCATGAGGTAGCATTCACATCCAGGCCAATTTGAATTAATTCTAAGTGTATACGAGACTGTATCAAAATGCTTTACTAAAATCCAAAGATATTGCATCCCTTCATCCACTAATTTTGTAATTCTATCAAAAAAAGCAATTAAATTTGCCTGGCAAGATTTATTCTTTATAATCCTGATGCTGTTTATTGCTCGTGGTTCCTTTATCCTCTAGATGTTTAATGATTTTCTCCTCCCTCTTAATATTTGTTCCATTACTTTAGTGGAAGGAGAAGTTAAGACTAGAGGTATGATAATTGCCAAAGATCACTTGCCTTTTTTTGCCCTGAAAGAATCAGTACCTAGATTATTTTTTTTTTTTTTCCAATTTCCCAGTACCTCCCTCTTCTCTATGGCTTAACAAATAGCAAATAATAACGCAGTCAGTTTGTGAGTTAATTTCCATTGCACTTCAGGACATACATCATCCAAACTGGCTGATCTGTGCATATGTATATTTTCCAACCAGTCCCTTTATCTGCTCTTGTAGAACGTCTTCATTTTATCCCTAATTGTCTGCTTTGTCTTAAGTTTTCCTATCCAAAGCAAATTTTCTAAGGCAGCCATTTTTGACTCATCACCTCCCATTTTTATTGGACCTTCATTCTAAGTACAATACCTCATGTCCCTGCTACAACCACCCCTTTAGTTGCTGTAACTTGTTTTCTTATCTCTTGCCACACCTTTACTTTCCTTCATGTTCTCCCTGCAAGCCTTGACTGCATGTATTCTCTATCCACTGACCTTCCTTCTCCAATACAAGTTGTTTTTCTTTTTCCTTTACCCTCAAATTGTTCAGAGGTCCCTCCTGGGACCACACAGGCTGCTGTTTGTTTCTCGCTTTCCTGCTCATCAGAGCAATTGTAGTTCGTTGTATCTTAATTATGCAAGATTCCCCTGTTAAGTTTCAAATCCTTCCTGCCAGTGTTTTTTACTTGATTTCTAGATTCCCTGTGATTCTGGAGTTTCCTGAAATCACATGTATTTGTGCTACTCTTACTAAGTCCAGAGAATTTCAGCAGTGGATGAGCAGTGAAATCATGCTTAGTTGTTTTTGCCCTCCTGACCGTTTCCTCTAAGATGACAGCAGGAATATCTTAGACAACAGCTTTTGCTTTGGTTTTTGCATTGCAGCGTTGTTTCTTCTGTACTTCAGGGATTGTGCTCTTCAGTATTTATGCATATACTAGGCTGTAACTGCTGTATAGGCAATACTTTGTCTCTTCCATCTACGTGACTCTTGTTTCAGGGCGGGGGAAAGGCAGATTCTTGATCTAGAACCACTGTTGTTTCTTCCCTTGTGCTACTCCCAGTAAACTGAAAAAGAAAAACCTGTAATGTTTCAGCAGTGTCCTCTTGGTCTGGATTGCCTTTATTTACTAACCTTTGATCGTTCCTCAGAGCCTTGGCTTTTGTACATAGATGCTCAAGAACACTAATGAATTTCATCTTTTGTTTCAGAGTAGTTCTGTATTTTGCTCCCACTAAAAGTGAATGGGAGTTTCTCAGTCAAGTTCAGTTGGAGAGAAACTAGGCTCTTGTTCTGCATGTTCAGATCTATATAACAGGCAATAATCAAGCAACAATGCCAGCAGTGCTATTTGTGCAGCAGGGACAGTGATGTTAGAAAACGGAATGGGAGTAGAGTTGAAAACCAAAGAAAATATGTCTGTTCCAACACTGCTTCCCTTCTGGGGCCTTCTATAAGATGCCTGCTTGTCTGCTTTGGCCAGGTTTGGTACCAAGGATTTCTGTGATGCGCAGTGCGACTTTCTCCATAAGGTGCATTTCCATTGTGTCGTGGAGGAATGTGGTGCCCTCTTCAGCACCCTGGATGGAGCCATCAAACACGCCAAGTAAGTAGGAGAGTCTTGGGAAACCTGAGAAAACTCTACAACACGCATGCTGCAGGACAGGAGGGATCTTGCTGAGTAACTGTTCAGGAGCAGGAACATCGGTGGTCCTGAGAGCAGCAATTTGGGCAGCCACATGCTTCCTGTGTAACTGTGCTCAGCTAGAATTTTTGCAGAACTCTAGGTCCTCTTTAACTTTGTTTCACAGTAAATGCACTCAACTTGTGAAAAAGTTGGCAAGGCTGACAACTTGACATTTGTGGTTTTCCATAGCCTACTTGACAGACAGTGTGTTCAAGGAGACCCACAGCACCATACAAAGAAATAAGAAAATATGGGAGAGGGTCCTGTAAACCCAACCATTGTCACTGGATACAGACTTTTTGTGGAGTGGACAGCTCCCCATCACTGCAGTGTAGAAAGAATTTTATTGTTCTTTGTCTTGTTATGACGAGTCTCTTTTAACAAGTTTTCCCTAGCCCTTAGTTTATATGGTTTTGTTGAAGAGGTTCACACCACTGGGATACGGATCTTGAAATGAAGCAGTCAAACTGTCCAGCCCAAGAGCAACTTTTTTCTCACCTTGCTGTGTTCTTATATTATAAACCCTTTGTCATTTCACATCATCTGGAAAGAAGCAGACAGCCCAGAGTCTGGTAGCCAGAACTGATAACATGGCCTGTATTACAGAGGCTGTACACCGTGCTCGGAACTCTAGGTGGCTGTTGGGTGAAGAATGATTTTAAGATACGCTCCCACTGTTCCAGTGAGGGGACTAGCAAAGGAAGGGTGCGATATTGGAAATTTTCCCTGTTGCAGATTTCTACAGAGCATAATCTGCAGTTCCAAGTATCTTCTAAAGGCAATGGAAGATTTGCCCAAGTGAAGAATGAATAAGGCCTTCAGCAGCTGGCCCTGTGACTGATTCTGAGGGGGTTGAAAGGGAAGGAGGTGTTGCAAATTTTAAGATGGAAAGATCTGTTAGCACAGGTGGTCTCTGGCGTTGCCTGGTTCCCAGAGGTTCACCACACTCCAGCCATGGGAGGCTGCCCCCATCAGCACATTGATCTTACCGACTGCAGCGATTCTCAGGTCTCTCCAATGTCACATTTTTGCACCTTTCTATCTCCACCCCTCTTAATGAATTCCCTTCTCTTCACAGTCAGTCTAGGAGGCCCCTAAATCTTTTCACAAAGTTTGCAGAACCCCTTTTAGGATTTAACCTCAGCTAATTTGTTTGCAGACTCCCGCCGTGTTCTTGTTAATGTTTAATCACGTTCTATGCAGTGGTCAAGCACTCAGGTCTGAATTACGCTGTCTTTTGCAGTTTTCACTTCCGAACTGAGGGTGGAACTGTGAAAAGTAACTCCGAGTCTCCCTTTTCAACCACTACGGAGAATAAGGCTTCACTGGCCCCTTCATCACCATCTGCTGCTTCTGTCACCATGGCAAGTGCTCCTGCCCTCGACGTGCCCACTCCAAGTCCAGCTACTGTGCCCTCTGCCCCCACACTGCTAGCTTGGAAGCAACTGGCTTCAACTATACCCCAGATGCCTCAGATCCCAGCATCAGTGCCTAACCTGGCAACTTCACCCTTGGCAACGACTTCCCTGGAGAACGCCAAGCCTCAGGTCAAACCCGGATTTCTCCAGTTCCAGGAGAAGTAAGTTACAGAGGCTGCCTGCCTCCTTATGTCCTCTCCAGCTGTAGGACTACATCATTCTTCACCCACTGAAATACCTTCTGTCTAGAAAGAACTTTGGGCTTTATCTCACAGAAAAATTACTTCTATAAACTCTAGAAAATACCTTCAATTATCCCAGGAAAAAAACGGGATTATCAAGTACATCTGGGAGCACTTTTAGGTATGAGTGTTTAGAGGAGAAATAAACTTGCTGATATATCACTGAAAGCCTTTTTATACCTCATGAGAGGTGTACAGAAATACATGCATCTGTGCAATATTTTTGACCCAGAAAGCTACAGAGGTGGCAGAGCATCTTTAAAGTTTTTAGCATGACACATGATTAGGCCACCTCCAGATCTTGCTGCAAGTCTGAGCCTTACCATGAGTTTCTGTAGTTGGGCAAAAATCAGTGGGCTCAGAGTGCTCAGTCCTGCACAGGTGAGGTGTTACTGCAGCAAAGTACACAGCACTACAAGTAGATGTTTACAGAGTGCTGAAAAGGAAGCTTGCTGGATTTCTCTTGGATTTGTCCTCAGTAAGTTCTGTGGCCTCTTCCTAGGAATGCCCTCTGTAACTCAGTGTAATACAGCTTAATATATTTTTTTTCAGTGAAGAAGACTGAGGGTCAGATAGTGGAAGGGGCACAAGTGCTTGGACTCTGCCTTACCAGGAATGGGTGTCAGCAGCTCAAGGAACAGGGAGCAATACTCCCTCACTTCAGATTTGTCAAAGTTTTGCTGTCCTGGCTGAACTTCTGTACGAGCGTAATAAGTCCCCTTAAATTCAGTGCCTCTGTTTTCGTAGTGTTAGTTTACAAAGTAATTCATGAGAAAGGTGTCTGGCAGGAGGTAACATACCTTGCTGAACTTCTTTTAAAACACAGTGTTGCTGTGATATTGGTGGCACAGAAATTCTGTGGTTTACAGGAGGACACAGGAGTCCAGGATCAGGTCAGGCATTACAGCTTAGTTATTCAGGCTGGTGGAGTATCAGTCTCTGGGTCGTATATTGACAGTCATTTTTCTGCTTTCAAAGAAGTGTATTAATTCTTTTTCACGTATCTGAGTAGGTATCATTGGGTACAGTGCTTGGGATCCAAGAGATCAGTGTTCAGCTACCTCCCATCTGACCTGTTTGTGCAGCCAGAAATCCATGGAATGGGTTGGGGGAGTAAGGTACCAAAACCGTTTAGCAGATTAAATAGGTCACTGCTGATTTTGTCTAATCAGGGGAAGCCCTGGCATCTTGCAGTGTGCATGCCCAAGATTTTCATTTCAGTTATACAAAACTAAGATGGGAGAAACTATCTGAATCCACTGAGGTAAGTACAGACAGAAAGAAACAGCATCTATCCAGATCTTGAGAGAGCTTTAAATGGGAAGCGTGGCCCTCAAAGACTACAGAACCCACCATGCCTTGCTGTATTTTAATAATCTTAATCAAGAAAGTGCACTAGCTTGGTGGAATTGCAGCAGTGTTGCCAGCATCAATTTTACTAAAGAGGAAGGTGGCTATGGGAAATCTGTAGGCCATGTTTGGAACAGAGGCTTCAGCTGAGCTCCCCTTGAATTAAATTTTGGCAAAGGAACAAATGTGTGAAATGAGTGAAGGTGATGATTGGGTTTTGGATGTATTCCAGTGATCCCTGCCTGGCAACGGACTGCAAGTACGCCAACAAATTCCACTTCCACTGTCTCTTTGGGAACTGCAAGTATGTGTGCAAAACCTCTGGCAAAGCAGAATCCCACTGCCTGGACCACATCAACCCCAACAATAATTTGGTGAATGTGCGAGACCAGTTTGCTTACTATTCGCTGCAGTGTCTCTGTCCGAACCAGGTAAGAGCAACTCAAAAGCAGGGTTGTAGCCAGAGGATGTGTGCAGGAGAAGAATGAGAAGGAGCAAGTAGATTACCCAGTAGGAAGTGAGGCTGAGTGGTTCATTCCTGGTCCAAGTACAGAACCATAGACCATCAATTACATGGTCTACCAAAAGGTCTGGTTTCCATCAAATTAAAAACATGTTTCTTTGGCTTGGTCAAGTAGAAAAGGCAACTAGAATGATCTAAAGAGACATGAGATTAAATAAAACAAAAATCTATGATGAATGTCAGGGAAAGTCTGATATTAGATTTGGGATATTTGAACGTAGAATAGTGCAGTACAAAATGGATGTGCTCTAGAGTATCAGCTCAGGCCCCTCTCTCGTGTTGCAGGGGACAGTGTGAGTAGTAGGAAGAGGAGAGTGCATTTGTTTTAGATAATGCTTAAAGCAACCTGCCTGTTTGCTCCTCTCTAGCACTGTGAATTCAGGATGCGAGGGCATTACCACTGTCTTCGTCCTGGCTGCTACTTTGTGACTAACATCACCACCAAGCTGCCCTGGCATGTGAAAAAACATGAGAAGGCAGAGAGAAGGGCAGCCAATGGCTTCAAGTATTTTACCAAGCGAGAAGAATGTGGCAGACTAGGTGAGTTTTCTTCTCTTTCCCCCCATCACCTTTCCCATGTCTGGGCTAAGAATGCCGTGAGTTAAAGCCAGTGAGTTATGCCTAAAATGTATTTGGTCATTAAATCACTCAACAAGAAATGGAACAAAATAGAAATCGGATCCGGATCTGCCTGAGCTGAAGCATGTTTTCCCAAAAGAGAGACCCATGTTAAATGGCTAGAAAATGTAGTACAGAGGATTTATATATATATATATATTTGTCTGGAGATACAGCTTCCCCTTTGTTTTTCCCTTTTATCTAATTATCAAGACCTTTGGGTTTTTTCTGTATTTTGTTGTCTTTTGGGCCTACTGCTTGTGTTGGGTGGAGTTTTAAGGTTGCTCTTAGAAGTAGAAAAAAAAAACGTAGGGGCAGTGCCTTCTGTGAAAGTCTTCCTGTACCAAGGAAGTTGCTGCTTTGCCTGATCCCAGCCAGCTTCAAGTGAAACTTTTATTGTGCCATTGCCAGTGCGGCACATGGAAAGGCAAAGGGCACATAACGGAGAAGAGCGTTGAATAAACTGCTCCCTTCTCCCCCAGAACCATTCTCCACAGCCACTGGTGAGCACTCTTTGTGCCAGCCTCCTGCCAGAGCACGGCCCAAGGGAACACCTGAGATGTGGCACAGCCTCAGACTGTGGCTTGCCCACTTGCCAAAACTATTAGCAGCGCTGCAGCAGTTATTAAATGTAAGTGCCTCTAGTGTAAAGCTGGTAAAACAAACGCCCAACAACAGGAAGTGGAATGTATTCCCAGGGAGGTCTCTAGAGCTGAAATCCATGGCTCTGAACAGGGGGGAATCCCTAAAGACAGCTCCAGCAGAGCTCTGTCTTGAACTGCCTGGATTCTTTTAACCCTCCGAGTTGCTCTTTGCCGTAACAGCATCACAGGCTCAGTCTTCCCTATCACTCCTGGTTGGAACAAAGGCTGAAACAAAACAGGGTTCGGAATAACATTTCCGGGTGCTGTTCTCTCACACTGCAGGGAAACAGCCACAGTAACCAGAAGCAAACTTTTCAGGTTTGGATATGTCAAGAATTTATACCCAAATGGTGGCTTGTTTGTGGTAACCAGGGTAATGAGTGTCAACACGCCACAACCAGTACTTACCTAGGTCTCATTTACACATGTCAGTAGATTCAGCAGTTGCTGTTATTTACTCAACTTTAGGTGTTTTAGGTGATAGCAGGGGCTAGACAAAGCAGGACAATGATATATGACACCAGCCTACACGGATGCCCTAGCAACAGGCGAGCCTTCACCTGCCCTTTGCTGATACCGTTCAGTCCCGCCAGCACTGTTTGTTCTCCCTCCCAAAGAACAGCACAGCACGGTGGGGAGGGCAGATGAGGTGGGGCTGTGGGCGAGTGCAATACCTAAACAAACACAAGCTTGGCGTGCACATAAAACGCTATCTGGGAGCTAAAGATGGGCTGGGTGATTTAGGAGCAGTTTGGCAGCCAGGCGTCTGCAGGCTGTGCCCGTGCCAGCAGTGTTTATTTTGAGGAGCGATGGGGTACATGCATCCAGCAGCATGTACATATGCCTGTAGGTTGGGCTTGCCGTGCACTAAACATGTGTTTAGCCAGCACTCTGTGTTTGCCTGGGTAGATGCAGGCAGCATGAGGGGATGGTGTAGCTGGATGTGTTTGTGTAGGTGTATACGGTTATACCAACATGTAAATGCACGTCTGCTTCTCTGTACGTGCTTTTTATGTTGCGTAGGTATGTAGCAGGTGCAGAAAGCACTGGTCTGCTTTAAGGGCTGTGAATGTTTCTGAACAAACATGTACAATAGATTATTTTATTTTATATGTGTGCTTGTGCGTGTGTAAATACATACACGTGTGTGTGCATGGGGAGAGGGGGAGAGAGATGAAAAATCCGTATGTACATAAATAAAGGTGGATGGGTGTAGATAGATAGATGGGTAAAACTGAGCCTGTCTGTACCTCTGTGTATATAAGGGTATGGCCAAGGGATGATGGAGAACAGACAGAACCTGATTATTGATATAGCTGTGATTTAACTATAACAAAGCATTTTTTATCAGCTATAGAATGTAGCTGTTTAAAATTGTCCATTAAGGAGAGACACAAACTCCCAGCATTCATGGCACTATCCACGAGGAGCAAAACGTGTCAAGTGCTGTATGCCAGAACCCATATAAATTGCTTGTTGGTTAGTAGCTGCCCCTGTTATACAACAAATTTGGAGTGGCGATAAACACTTCCTGGCTCATTTCTATCTGACCAGAAAGCATACACTGTGCAGAGCTAGAGCTTTTAAGAGACTGCTTTTTTGAGAGCACAGTTAAAGGAAAAAAGAGAAAAAGAAACTTTTCATTTTTAAGCTAATTATGAGCGTGTATTTTTGATTATAATTTCTATGATACATTTACATGTCTTCGTTTCGTTTGCTTTGTAAAGGAAAAGGCACTCGCTAGGACTGGAGAGCATTAGGCTACTAGATGTGATGGCCATGTTCCTTTATAACAAAACAAAGAGGGATGGGACATGGCCTCAAGTTGCGTCAGGGAAAGTTCAGAGTAGATATTAGGAAGCATTTCTTTCCAGAAGGGGTTGTTTGGCGTTGGAATGGGCTGCCCAGGGAGGTGGTGGAGTCCCCATCCCTGGAGGGGTTCAGGAGTAGGGTCAGTGTAGAGCTTAAGGATATGCTGTAGGTGGGAACTGTGCTAGGAGAACAGTGGGACTAGATGATCTCCAGGGTCCTTTCCAACCTAGATGATTCTGTGATTCTGTGGTGTGCAGCTCAGGCTCACTTCTTACATCTCTGTACACTGTAATCCTCTCTTGCAGTTGCTCAGCAGGCAAAAGGTCATGGTTTTTTTCATTCAGGACTGATCCTGAAGAACCTGTGACTATTGATAACCTTCAATCCACCAGAAATGCATGTAGCAGCAGCCTTGTCCCATCTCCAGATCATCTTCCCTACAGTCCCCTTTCCTCTTGGTACCTTTCATGTGCTACATACAATGGTTTTGTGTCTGTAGGTTGCAAATACAACCAGGTGAACAGCCACTTCCACTGCATTCGAGAGGGCTGCCAGTTCTCCTTCCTGCTCAAGCACCAAATGACATCCCACGCCAGAAAGCACATGAGAAGGATGCTGGGGAAGAACTTTGATCGTGTTCCTACTCAGGTGACTCATTGGTTATTTAAGTTACAGATTCACATGTAGTGTTGGTCCCGTCGGTTGCTTGCTGCAGAACTGCTCTAGTGCCAAGACATTTGCACCAAAACTCTTAAGGATAAAACTCTGCACTGGGGGATGCATGCGGGATATGTGAGTTCACCCAAGGTAGTTTTACCTGGTTGGACTTCTACAGTATGAGGAAAAATGAAGAAGCATAGACATCAAAGCATTACTGAGGGTAAACAGCTTTTCGTTGTGAATTACGGAGAAAAAAAATGTATGGAGGGTAACACTAAAAATACTCATATTTACAACTTGCACTCCCTTCCTGCTCTCTCATACACCAGTTGACTTATTAAAATTAAAGTGCTTAGGATGTGGAAGAATTGAACGTGCTGGTTAAAGCAAACATTTCCTGTTGCCCATAAAGAATTATTTGCTGCTTCCACCTAGGATGGAAGAAATACCAGTCTTGAAATTTCTCTTCCCTTATTGATCTGGAGTTAGTTTGGGGCACTTGTCCTCTCTCAGGAAGTAGCAGAGCAAAACACTTGCTTCTTTTCTAACATGTAACTGAGAGCAACTGGCAGATAAGGTTTGTCTATTCCATGAATAAATTCAAGAGTTTCAACTGCAGCGCTGAGCTGCTGCTCAGAATGGCAGCACTCCTGCAGCCTCCTGCTGCTGCTTCTTATTCCTTAGTTGTTTCAACTTCCATTGACTTGGGAGATGAAACAAGTTAGCTTTATTTAAAGACCTGTGACGGATCTGACCCCAAGGACATCTTCTGGTACATGAAAAAAAAAGGGCCACCTGTAGAAAGAAGATGTGAAGCCCCTTTCATTGCACAACATGGGAATGAAAGGTCCCTATTAGTTACTAAGTACTGTCAATAAGTTAATTGTTCAAGTCTACTGCTGTTGGATTTAATGAGTTCACAGGTGCCAAGGAAATGGTGTGGTACCTTTTGTTCTTAACATGAAAAGCTTAGGTACAAGAATCAAACTTAGGAGAGATTTAACAACTAGATTTGTCTTCACTACTCTTCTTGTACATGATGAGTCTAGCCCTAAGAACTGTAGTGCATGCTGGGCAGAAGCAGCTGGTTTTGACCTCCATCTCCTTTCACTGGCAATCCTGTGTCACTTCAGCAGTGGAGAAGCAGTAATGGTGGCCTGAGCAATCCTGGGAGCATACAGTGCTGGTCTCACTCTACTGCTATGCTTAGCCCAGGGAGCAGTCCAGCAAACAACAAAACAGGGCTGAAACCACAGATCAGGGCACGTGGCAAAGCCAGAGAGAGGGCTGTAGTGCCACTGCCTTTCTGCATTTAAATGTCCTACCTCTGGTTTTTCCCCATGCTTCAGTGCTCAGTGGGCAGGCAGTGGTGTGTCGGGGTACCTACCCGTTTAAGTACCCAGGGAAGACCACGCCGTGCCAGGGCACAGCAGCTGCACATGAACACAGCACACACAGCCTGGTGTCAGCCTGCTCTCCCCTGTTGCAGTGTCTCAACATGCAAGCGCTAGGACAGTGGAGTCAGTAGTTGTATTTCCAGTCTCTAAATGCAGCAGGACCTACACAGTAAGGTAGTAACGCCAAGATTAACACCTCCTGTTTTTGAATGCATCAGAATCCACACACCAGGATAGCGGTGCCAAGATTAACACTCCCAGCCTCTGAGCACATCACAATTCACATACCAGGATGCGTGTGCCAAGTCTAATGCTCTGAGCTCCCAGTGAAGGAAGATTCATGCTCATAGCCACAGTGCCATGGGTTCCACTCACGAGCATGTTCCAGCTATCCCTCATGAACCGTGGCAGAGAGAAATAAACGTGCAGACAGATGGTTTTGGTCTTGGCATCTTGCTTTTGGTGTGAAAGTCCCCGTCCTGTTTTCTTGCTGCAGGTTATTGGCCACACTCCAAGAAATGAAAATCTCCCCCAGGTTGGCAGCATGGCACCCAGCCCAGCCTCATCAGGAACCCCAGCTTCCTTTCAGGGACCCCCAAGCATGATGGACACTGAAACAGATGAGTACATGGATTACACTGGCTGTAGCCCTGGGGGTATCTCCTCCGAATCTTCCAACATGGACCGCAGCTGCTCCAGCACTCCAGTGGGCAACGAAAGTACATCAGCAGGTAAGAGAGAAGGGGGTGGGGGGGATGAAGTGGACCATCAGTTGCCTGCTCTCTTGAGATAAACTCATGAAGAGAGGCCAAAGAACAATGGCACCTTAACATATGAACTGTACCAGCTTCACAATAGTGCCTCGTACTAACCCAGCTCCCTCTATCATTCGTGAGAAGAAATCCATCAAAATGTGTGCCTCAAGCATCCATGAACTAACAGCGTATCTTTTTTCTCCCCTGAAGAGAGGTTGTTTTCCTGTGTCTTGGAGTTGGATCTGTTTTACTCTGATTTTAAAAAAAAACCCAAAACAAAAAAATGTTGTGGGCCTCTTCTGTACTTGGCATTTCCCCCAATATTGTTTTATATTTCATTATGCAGCATCTGAAGTCAGGCACTTTTCCTAGACTGTTGAGGTACAGAAAGACTGTACAATAGCAAATATTATATACACAGGGGAAAAAAACCTACCACATCTTCAGAAAGCAACACATAAAAGCAGCTCACTGCTTTCTCGTGCAAAAGCTCTTGTTCTGTTTTGTGCTGTGTTGCACAGAGCAGACCTCCATCATCCCCTCTTTTTGGAAGTAAGTTTCGGCCATTGTTTCCCCTTTGCCAGGATAAGGTGTAGCCATCTCCCGCTGCCATGTGTTACTGGGTTATCTTTTCAGTAGTCAGATATCTTTTATGAATTCTGTTATCATCTAGTGGTGATCCAGGGATCTCTTAGCTGTCCTTCCCAGGGTTGTGTTACATTCTACATAGGCTGCCTCACTGATTTCGTTTTAATTTGTACACATTTTCCTATCTTTGCGTCCCAGAGCAGTTAGATGAAGGTTATCACACAGCACATCTAACCCCATGTTGTACGAACACTGCTGGGTCATGACAGTGGTTGCCCCGTGACATGAAAGCTCCTCTGACGAGTCCTGGTGGGACAGTGGTCCCTGGCACAATCCCCTTTGTCAGCACACTTCTAGGGAACAGCCCCCCTGCCCAGAGCCTGCAACCACCTCACAGCTATTAGCTGGTATGAGCTGGTGCCGTATAGATGAACAAGGACCAAACCAGCAGGGCTTTCTGCATGAAAGCCTGTGGCTCGTCCCCCACGCCACTAAAGCCACCTTACCTTCTGCAGGGACAACCCTCCTCTTCCTGATGCTGTCAGTTCCTCACCTTCTGTTTCTTCTCTGTTACAGTTCTGTTTCATACATTTGTGAATGTATTTTCCATTTTCATCATATTGCTTCTGCTCTTGGGTTCTCATTTCAGTTCTTTTGTTTTTTTTGTTTTGTTTTGTTTTTTTATTTTATTTTCCTTTTTTTCTGCTTTTTTTTCTCTCCACATTCTCCAGGCTGCCTGGTTCCTTCTACTGCTACTGCTGCTGCCGATGATGCTACCCACAATGCACCACAACCTCAACCACCATCTCTGCCTCCATCTTTCTCACAAGCCCTGCTTAGGTCTCCCATTCCCACCCTCCCCTATCTCTTCTCTCCATCTTGTCTCTCATACTCTCTGCTCAGTGCCACTCTTGGATCCAGCAGAGGCATTGTCATGCCTGCCGCCAGCACCACTGGGTTTTCGCCCATCATTGCCACTCCAACTCCAGTAAAAAGTGACGTTCCCTTAGTTCAGGATGCAGCAGGTAACACTTCTTTGCTTTCTCTCTGTGTCCTGTGCCCATCTCCTTCCCCACTCACCCTGCTCACGTTTTTTTCTCTGCACCTCTGGGTCAGTAAAAAACCATACGTCACTCTGTGTCTTATTTAACTTTATCCAAGGGCCCCTCCATGCCTACTCCTTTTGTCTGCTGACACAGTAACCACAGCTAAGAAGGGTAACCAGAACCACAGCAGATCACTGAGAGACATTTGGATGCCGGAGAGCAATTTCCACCAATTCCAGACTATGAGAAAAACCTAACAAAATCCATAGTTAAAATGCACTTTCAGCCTCTTGGTAACAGCAGGGTGGCCACAAAGCAAACTTTTGCTCATGTAGCATTAATGGGACTTGGGATTCTTGTTTAGATCTTCCAGGCCACCCAGCTCACACATCTCAGCAGGTAATGTCTGACAGGGTCCTCAGTTCCTGTACTTTTATTGATCTTGTAAGCTTCACTGCTTCCTATTCATATACGAAGCCATAAAACTCAGGGCTGCTTTCCCCAGCACAAGTAACAGAGTAAAGTACAGTCAGTGTCACTACGATGACATCATCAGACAGCTCAGGCTGTTTCTCACACTCGCTGTTATTTATATCTGCTCTTAACAGCTGCAGAAAATACATCTAGATTTTTAGTTTTAAGCTGCCATGTTTCCCATGTGTGACTAAGATCAGAGATGTCTC